AATTTAATTAGATTCCATTTGTCAATTTTAGCTTTTGTTGCAATTGCTTTTGACGTTTTAGTCATGAAGTCTTTGCCCACGCCTTAAATGTATTCCGAGGCTTCTGTGTGTGTGTGTGTGTGTGTGTGTGTGTGTGTGTGTGTGTATGTGTCTATTGCAAATGGCATTCTGTTCTTGATTTGGCTTTCAATCTATACTGTTGTATAGAAGAGCTGACTGTTGTTCACTGATTTTGTATCTTGAAATTTTACTGAAATCATTTATCATTTCTAGGCGCCTTCTGTCTAAGTCCTTAGGGTTTCTATGTACAGAATTGTATCATCAGCAAAGAGAGACAATTTAACTTCTTCTTTTCCTACTTGGATGCCTTTTCTTTCTCTTGCCTAATTGTTCTAGCAAGCACTTTCAATACTATGGTGAACAAGAGTAGTGAGAGTAGGCATAGTTGTCTTGCTTCAGTTCTCAAAAGGAATGATTCATTTTTGTCAATTCAGTATAATGCTATGATGTTAGCTGTGGATTTGTCATAGATGGCCCTATTATATTGAGGTAAGTTCCTTCATGCCTAGTCTCTTCAGGGTTTTTATCATGAAGAGATGTTGGATTTTACTGAGGGCTTTTTCTGTGTCTATTGAAATGGTAATGTCGTTTTTGTTTTTTATTCTGCTTATATGATGAATCACATTCATTAAGTTGCATATGATGAACCAACTTGCATCTCAGCAATAAAGTCTAACTTGTGGTGAATTAACTTATGCTGATGGATTTGGTTTGCTAGTATTTTGTCAAAAATTTTTTTGCTTATGTTCATCAAGAATATTTGGCTTAAAGTTTTCTTATTTCGTTGTGTGTCAGATTTTGGTATCAGGATGTTATTGGCTTTGTAAAATAAGTTATAAAGAAGCCCCTCCTCTTCAACTTTTTAGAACAGTTTCAGTAGGATTGATATCAGTTCTTTATACATCTAGTAGAATTCTGTATGAATCCATCCGGTCCCAGGCTTTTTTCGGTTGGGAGGTTTTGTATTACTGATTCACTTCTGAAACTTGTTACTGGTATGTTCAAGATTTTACTTTCTTCTTGGTTCAAACTTAGGACATTGTGTTTCCAGGATCCAGGAACTTATCAATATCTTCTAGACTTTCTAATTTGTGTGCATTGAGGTGCTCATAATAGTCTCTTTTGTATTTTGATCTTTTGTATTTCTGTAGGATCAGCTGTAATGTCATCTTTATTATCATTTTTGATTGTGCTTATTTGGATCTTTTTTTTCTTTGATAACCTAGGTAGCACTCTATCAATCTTGTTGTTCCTTTTGGAAAATCAATTACTAGTTTCATTTATCTTTTTTATGGATGTTTGTGTGACAATTTCAGCTTTTCTTTGATTTTAATTATTTATTTTCTTCTGCTAACTCTGGAGTCAGATGGGTTTTTTTTTCTATTTCCTCTAGAGATATTAGATCATTAATTTAAGATTTTTCTAATCTCTTGATGAAAGCCTTAGGACTATAAACCTTTCTCTTAACACAGATTTAGCTGAAACCGAAAGATGTAAGTTGTATCTCTATTTTCATTAATTTCAAAGAAAGTTTTCATTTCTGACTTAATTTCATTGTTCACTCAAGGGTTATAAAGAGTTAGTTGTTTAATTTCCATGTTTTATGTGTGGATTTGAGAGATCTTGGTATTGATTTCTATTTCTATTTATTTTATTCCAATATTATTCCATATTTATTTTTATTCCATTCCAATTATTTCCACTCATCAAAAAAATGAATACCCTTAGTAGTTGCTTGTCTGAGAAAGATTTTATTTCTCTTTTACCCTGAAGCTGAGTTTGATGGCATATGAAATTCTTGGTTGAAATTTCTTTATCTTAAAAATGATGAAAACAGGCCTCCAATCTCTTCTGGCTTTAAGGTTTCTGCTGTAAAATCTCTTGGTAGAATAATGAGTTTCCCTTTATAGGTCAACTGACCTTTCTCTCTGGTTGCCTTTAAGTTTTTTCTTTTGTAGTAACTTGGTAAATCTGATGACTATGTGCCTGGGGATGGTTGTCTTGTACAGTAGCTTGCAAGTGATCTACATATTTCTTGAATTCTTATGTCTACATGTCTAGCAAGATTGGGGAAATTTTCATGGACTTCAAATGTTTTCCAAGTTACTTACACTTTCTCCTTCTCTCTCAAGAATGCCAATGAATCACAGATTTTGTCTGTACATAATCCTATATTTCTTGGAAGTTTTGTCATTTTTTAAAATTCTTTTTTCTTTGTGTCTGACTTAGTTGATTCAAGAACCGGTGTTCAAGATTTGAGATTCTTTCCTCAGCTTGGTCTATTCTGCTGTTAATACTTCTGACTATGCTTTATGACTAATTATGAAATACTTAAAGTGAATTATTCAATTCCAGAGGTTCCGTTTAGTTCTTACTTGAAATGGCTATTTTTTCTTTTAGCTCCTTGATCACTGCACTGGATTCCTTGGATTTCTGGGATTGAGTTTCAACTTTCTCCTGGATCTGAAAGTTTCCTTACCAGCCAAATTCTGAATCCTAGGTCTGTCATTTCAGTCCTTTCGATTTTTTTTTTTTAACTGCACTTTAGGTTCTGGGGTACATGTGAAGAACATGCAGGATTGTTGCACAGGTACATACATGGCAATGTAGTTTGCTGTCTCTATCCCCTTGTCACCTATATCTGGCATTTATCCCCGTGTTATCCCTCCCCAACTCCCTACCCACTGCTGTCCCTCTCCTAGTCCCCTACAACACACCCCAGTATGTGATGCTGCCTCCCTGTGTCCATGTGTTCTCACTGTTCAACCACCACCCATGAGTGAGAACGTGCAGTGTTTGATTTTCTGTTCTTGTGTCAGTTTGCTGAGAACAATGGTTTCCAGATTCATTCATCTCCCTAAAAAGGACATGAACTCATCATTTTTTATGGCTGCATAGTATTCCACGGTGTACGTACATGTGCCACGTTTTCCTTGTCCAGTCTATTACTGATTGGCATTTGGGTTGATTCTAGGTCTTAGCTGTTTGTAAACACTGCCGCAATAAACCTACATGTGCATGTGTCTTTATAAGAGAATGATTTATAATCCTTTGGATATATACCTAGTAATGGTATTGCTTGGTCAAATGGAATTTCTATTTCTAGGTCCTTGAGGAATCACCACACTGTCTTCCACAACGGGTGAACTAATTTACACTCCCACCAACAGTGTAAAAGTGTTCCTATTTCTCCACATCCTCTCCAGCATCTTTTGTCTCCAGATTTTTTAATGATCGCCATTCTGACTGGAGTGAGATGGTATCTCAATGTGGTTTTGATTTGCATTTCTCTAATGACCAGTGATAATGAACATTTTTTCATATGTCTGTTGGCCTCATATATGTCTTCTTTTGAAAAGTGTCTGTTCATGTCCTTCACCCACTTTTAAATGAGTTTGTTTTTTTCCTGTAAATCTGTCTTAGTTCTTTGTAGATTCTGGATATTTGCCCTTTGTCAGGTGGGTAGATTGCAAAAATTTTTTCCCATTCTGTTGTTACTGGTTCAGTCCTTTCAGTCTTGTTAAGAATCATTGCTGGGGGATTAGTGCATTTGTTAGGAGGTAAAAGGACACTCTGGCTTTTTGAATTACCATGTGGAGGTCTGGTGGTCCTTTAACTGTGAGGTAAGTTGAGTACAGTCATTTGGCTTTGTTTCTGGGTGCTTTCAGAGTGCTATAACTCCATACAGAATCTTCATTTGTGACTGAAATTTTGCCTTACAAAACTTCACAGGCACTGCATACTGGCAAAATATTTTTGGTATTGTAATCTGGGCTTCTACTAAGTAGGTAGAGTTTAAGAGTGGTAGCCTGCAGATGGGCCACATAAATTCATCTTTTATCTATAATTCTCTAGCCTAAAAACTCTGAATTTTAGCTGCTCATAAGATAATGTCTAAACACCTGAATTTGAGTTCTACTGGTCTTACGGCTGGGCATACATGTTCAGTCTTACTTCCTGTCACTCTTACTTTCACATTCCAGATCTCAGACATCATTCAACTACCCACATTTCTCTGACTATAGCTTGCTTCTTCTAGCCTCTCTGCTGTTTCCTCCACCAAAAAAAAAGCTCTTCTAGTAACCAGAAAATACATATTTAAACTACAAGCCTCATTATATACATAACCTTCTTTGAAAGGGTATCCTGCTTATGTACTATCCTAGCAGGGTATACATTTTTCTATTTAGTTCCCATCACATCATACTACTCTACAATTATCTAATTACTTAAATGTATTCTGTAAGAGTTCATGACTCAACAGAGGTAGGAATCATAATCTTCACTAATTTCAGTTTTTGGGTACACAAGGCTTGTGTATAGCACACTGCAGTTATACCTAGAATTAATTCAACAAATCAAAAATCTTTACTGTTTTTTAATCAAACAGCCATTGCTACTGGACAGATCAGCTACATCTTGGCTACAAGAAATAAGAATGATTTATCCTCATACAAATAGTCATGCACTGATTTACAATGAGAATATATTTTGAGAATTGTATCCTCAAGCAATTTTGTCACTCTGTTAACACTGTAGAGTGCTCTTACACAATCCTAGGACTTTATTGCTCCTAGACTAGAAACCTATACAGCATGCTACTGTACTGAATATTGTAGGCAACTGTAGCACAATGGCATTTGTGTATCTGAACATACTTAAAGATTTTTAAAAGTACAGCAAAAATAATAATAGTATGATAATCTTATAAGACTACCTTTATATACTTGATCCATCATTAACCAAATGTCATTATGGAGCACATGACTGCACAAGTTAGTAAGATACATGAAGGAAAAAAAATACAAAGAAATAGGCATAAATGCATCCATGTATATATGCTAAGTGTGGTCAATATTCATCTTCCTTAATATTTTCTTTTTTCCAAATTATAATGAAAGCATTAAAAATAATAAGACATTTGATGATAAATAGTTTACCTTGTTCTATATCAGAATTTCTTGAAATGTCTGACAGATAGCAGTTTGGCAAAGGATATGATGAAAACATTGGCCAAGGATATGGATTATCATTCTAAAAAAGAAGTGAGACAGATGACTTTAGGAGGCGGTTTAAAATAATACCAAATTTTAAAGCTAACTGAAATATCATTAATTTAAACTGGTCTTTCTTGCTCATAAATTCTATAGTTATTGCTCAACTATCCAATAGCTATTTGGTTATACTTCAATATTCCAATGGGTAATAATTAAAACAAGCTATAACAGAAACAATTAAACAGAAATGCCGACAAACATACAGTAACTTGTTGCAAGCAGAATTGCTTTTTTTTTTCATAAAAGGAAAACGATAATCTTCAAAATATACCTGTGGCTTTTTTTCTACAAAACTTTTTTCTTGTGCTGTCAATCATTTCCATCGTATCCTTCTAAGAGTGACAGTCAAAGCAAGAATGTTCTTAACAACAATGAAAACAAACGACAAACCTCCATGAGAAACTCATACTTGAATATTGATGGAAGGAGAGGTACTCAATATTGCCAATATAATTAAAAAATTATATTTAATAATAAAAGTTAAATATAATGAAAGAGAAAGACATTGAAAGTAAAATAAAGACACACAAGAAAAATGACAACTTTTTAATAAAGCAATACCTACTTCACTACACATGCAAACAATACCTACCCTACTTTAGCATTCATGACCCCTGGACATCAAAAATATTATTTTAGTTTGAAAGTATTCATTTGCATACTAAATATTCTCAAGTAATTAAGTTCAACTCTGTGATACACACATTTGAGAGGTAAAGTTTAGGGTCACTTTGAGTTGGCTATCTTGCTTAAAAATATGTCAGAAAAACAAACCCCACTTCTCTTTGCTGCACACTCACCTGTTCTAGCGTTCTTGGAGGCAAAATCCGTTCCAATGGCCCACCAACAAGATTTATTCTAACAAGAACATGATTTCTCTCTACTGATAAGCCATCAATTATAAAGTCCCTGAAAAACATAAATGTATCACCTTTATCATCCCTTTGATTGAATATGTGTTAATTTTTAAATCAAGTCTCTGGATTGTAAAGAAAAAAGGTAGAAATATTCATGAATATTTTTCTTTTTCTTTACTACATTTATACATATTTTTAAGTTTGGGATATATGTGCCAGATGTTGAGGTTTGTTAAATAGGTAAACATGTGCCATGGTGGTTTGCTGCACAGATCATCCCATCACCTAGGTATTAAGCCTGCATCCATGAGCTGTTCTTTCTGATGCTCTCCTTCCTCTCCACCTTCACCCACTATCAGGCCACAGTATGTATTGTTCCCTACCATGTGTCTATATGTTCTCATCATTCAGCTCCTACTTATAAGTGAGAACATGGAGTATTTGGTTTTCTAATCCTGTGTTAGTTTTCTGAGGATAATGGCCTCCAGCTCCATTCATGTCCCTGCAAAGGATATGATCTCCTTCCTTTCTATGGCTGCATAGTATTCCACGGTGTGTATGTATCACATTTTCTATCACTGATGGGCATTTGGGTAGATTCCATGTCTTTGCTATTATGAATAGTGCTGCAATGAAAATAAGCATGCCTGTATCTTTATAAAAGAATGATTTATATTCCTTTGGTACATACCCAGTAATGAGATTACTGGCTCAAATGCTATTTGTCTTTAGGTCTTCGAGGAATCACCACCCTGTTCTCCACAGTGGTTGAACTAATTTATACTACGACCACAAGTGTAAAAACATTCCTTTTTCTCCACAACCACACCAGTATCTGTTGTTTTTTGACTTTTAAATAATAGCCATTCTGACATGCATTATTTCTATGGTGAATTCAACAATCGTATTTTCAGTCAAGGTTTTCTTAAGTTTTAGACCTGGTACCTGAAATTTAAATCTAAATGTTGCTTATGAGCATCCTCCATACTCTGCAGCTGTTAATATTTTCCTTCCACACAATCTAGAGTATTAAGTAATACACTCTATAATAATTTTCCAAGACCTGGCTAGGATGCAGACATACTCTTTCTTTAAATTAATTAGACATAAAGGCAATGCCAGCTATTGAATGTGTATTTGACAACAGTCAGCCAAATTGAGGTAATGGCAATGTGATTTATTAATGAAAAAAAATTATCAGAATATTACCATAACCTCATTTTGGAAAAAATCAGAATTTATGACTATGAACTAATGCAATTAACAGGATGGAGTAAAGAGTGCCTCTGCAAAGGGCACAAAATAAAAAATTTTGTTCAATGGGTCATCTTAAACTAGCACCTATATTAAAAAGTGATACAGTTTCATAGAACCATTAATAAAATTAGGTCTCAACTAAAATTTTATGTATTACCTATATACACCCCCCTCCCATACACACACACCACATGTGACAAAAGCAGCAGACTTTGAAAGCAGGACTCAGCAAGCACTCTCCAAACACTTCTATCATAACCTTTCTGTAACATTTACACTTTAGTTGCTTCATACTCTGTTATTAAAATCTATTGAATTTAGAGAGCAGAAAAACATTAAACAAACTATCAAAAATTACTGTCTTAACAAAATATCTCTAAAGAAAACTGCTGTTCTTGTGTTTTCATCACTCATTTTTACCTGTGGCTCTCAGAAGTCTCTAAAATATTTTCTTCTTGAGCCTTTAATAACATTTCAGATACTTGATACTGAGCCTCTAATAGGAGAAGAGTGTCCAGATCACAGCATATCACACTTAATAATCTATATAAAAAAGAAAAATAAAAGTAGATTATGTAAAACATGTCCCCAAAGCATAATTGCATCCTTGATGTCTCAAAGTAATACCTGTACATCAAAATATAAATTCCACAGAAAGTGTCATTTAGTTCATTTAGTTATTTCAAATACATTTTTAATCAATTAGAATGGTAATCTCCTCTTCAAAAGTTGTTCTTACTGAGTACTTTTATAAGACCATGGGTAATTTCTAATCTAGATTTTTAAAAATGTATCTAAATCTACATAAATAGTAAATTTTCTTCTCAACTGCCACTTAATTTAAAAATTCATCAGAGAACATTAGCAAATCCAGAAAATCTCCAAACTGCTGTAACTTTTTATTCAGCAGTTAATTACCAAAGTTATTATAGAATCATCATTTTGCTGCCAATCCAGAAAATGTTAATTAATTTTATAATTATCAGATCAAGCTGAGAACACCTAAGCCCACTTATCTATCTTAACATTATCAAAAGCTACAAGCAGAAATCATGTGTCTCCTATTATAATGCAAGAGGATACATGCTGCCCCGTCTATGAAGTATTCTTGCCCAGGAAGCTAAACCTCAATCTAATCAATTCTACACTACTTATTATCAGTTTACAGAAAACACAGGTATTACAAAAACATATTTTAAAAAAATTGTAAGGAGAAAACAGCCAACCAAATTCAGAGTTTTGAGAATCCTACACATTATAACATATATTATTTTTTAAGAAAAAAAAAAGTCATAAAAAACAGAGGGAAAAGAAACTCTTACAAGTTAAAAAAAAAAAAAAAAAAAGGACCAAATGTCAAGATTTTGTTTTGATCTTAATTCAAGCAAACTTTAAAAGGGCATTTTTAAATCATATAGGAAAATATGGGAGTAGTATGAGATGAGATCAGGGAAACACTGTTAATTTTGTTAGCTGTAACAGTGGCAAAGTGGTGAAGGGTTTTTTTCTTGTTTTGTTTTGTTTTTAAACATTTCCTTATTTATTAGAGATATACACTGAATGTGTTATATATAAAACATCATATCTAAAATTTACCTTAAAGTACTTAAGAAAAAAATATATGTGGAGGGAGGGAGAGGAAACAAGACTAGCGAAATAATGATAAATAATAAAGACGAATGACGGGCACATGAAAGATTATACTATTCGCTACTTTTTTATATGTCTAAAAATTCTATGATTAAAAATTGTTCAAACAAAGATGACATAATGACAACGTTGGGGGGCTATGGTAGAGTGGGATAGTGAGGTAAAGTCTCTCTGAAAGGTGACATTTGAGGAAACAGGAGATCCAAAAAGAAACCAACCTTCCAATAACACCTAGTGATTTATCTTAGGGTGATATATGAACACAATGGCTTACATACAAGGATATTTATTGCAGAGTGGCCACATAGCAATCAATGAGTCAATCAATCACTCTCCATTCATAGAAAAATGTTTAAATGTCCGGGGTATTTTTAAGAGGTATACTTTGCAAATATTAGGACACAGTAGCTTATGATTTTAATAAAGAACTATCTCTAAGGTATCTTAATTGAAAAAGGAGAGGCACAAAATATTATGTCTAGTACTAGCATTTGAATGAAAAATAGAAAAACAAGAATTACACATAAATGTATACTTGTTTTTACATAAAATATCTATCACAGGAGAGAAAAGAAAGTAGGAAGACCTGTTATCTCTGCAGTGATGGTCTGACAGCCAGAGAATTTACTTCTTACTGCATATTTTTTAAATTGCATTTTAGGTTTTGGGGTACATGTGAAGAACATGCAAGATTGTTACACAGGTACATACATGGCAGTGTGATTTGCTGCCTTCCTTCCCATTGCCTATATCTGGCATTTCTCCCCATGCTATCTCTCCCCAAGTCCCCATCCCCTGCTGTCCCTCCCCTCTTACTGTATATTTTTATGTTGATCTTTGAGTTTTGGTACAACTGCATGTTTTACTTGTACAAAAGTACACATAAGAGAAAAAAGTTTGGTAAATGCCTTTCAGAGTCAAAGATAGCAATTCAGTGTCACTCTCTAGAATGAGGCCAAAATATTTAAATGCATATAAAACTAAGTAAAGACCCACTATTATTATTTTAGAGAGATATTCTCTAATCTTTCACGAAAAGAAAACTATAATACATAGAGTTTACAGAAATAAAAATATTTTTGTTAAATAAAATATAGATGAAAGCAAAATGAAAGACATCTTAGACTTCTGGTGAGAAGATGATGGCGTATGCTGTCATATCCCTTTCTCATCTTAGAAATAACTGAAAAGCAGAGAGGAGGGAAAAAAACAGCACATCACAAAAATTTTTAACCACAAGATGAATTGAAGGGTAGCCAAAGGAAGTAAAAATAGGACAAATGGTGCTGGGAAAGGGAAAGAATGAGTCAGGATATTATGGCTGTCCATATGTGAAAAAAAAAAAAAAAAAAAGGAAAAAATTTCTCAAAAAGAAAGTTGATAAGATTTGGCTGTGTCCTCACTCAAATCTCATCCCAAATTGTAGCTCCCATAATTTCCACATGTTATGGGAGGGCCCTGCTGAAAGATAACTAAATCACGGGGGCAATTTCCCCTATACTGTTCTTTTGGTAGTGAGTAAGTCTCATGAGAGCTGATGATTTTATAAGGGGGAAACCCTTTTACTTGGTTCTCATTCTCTCTTGTCTGCCACCATGTAAGATGTGCCTTTCACCTTCTATGATGATTGTGAGGCCTCCCCACCCACGTGGAACTGTGAGTCCATTACACATCTTTTTCTTTATAAACTACCCAGTCTCAGGTATGTCTTTATCGGCAGTGTAAAAATAGACTAATACAGCAAATTTTGGGCTCTTCCTACCTTTAAGTCAATAGGCTAAGAAGGGAGATAAACTGTTGACTAGGGTGACTGACCTGGACTACCAAGATGAAATCAGTTTATCACAATGGGGGTAAGGAAGAGTACGTGTGGAATACAGGAGATCCATTAGGGTGTCCCTTAGTATTACCAAGCCCTGTGATTAAGGTCAATGGGAAACTATAACAGCCAAATCTAGACAGGACTACTAATGGCCTAGACCCTTCAGGAATGAAGGTCTGGGTCACACTGCCAGGTAAAAAACCATGACCTGCTGAGGTGCTTGCTGAAGGCAAAGGCAATACAGAATGGATAGTAGAAGAAGGTAGTAATCAATACCAGTTATGATCATGTGACCAGCTGCAGAAATGAGGACTATAATTATCATAAGTATTTCCTCATTTTATTAAAAACATGTATGTGCAGGTATATACTTGTACTAAGAAAATTTCTTCATTTTATTTCCTTTCACCTTTATCATGTGACATAGAGTTATTGACTTCAAATCAGCATTTAAGTGTTTTAACTTTATGTAATAGCATTTGGGTTGGGGTGTGTTTCCTGTTGTATGAAGGATAGTTGTATTGTTAGGCATAATTATAACCTTAGTATTGTCTTTATTTGAAGATTATGTATGATTTCAGGAGATGTTTATGGGTTCACATTGACAAAGGGTGGACTTGTGATGGCTAATATTAAGTGTCAACTTGACAGTATTGAAGGATGCAAAGTATTGTTCCTGAGTGTGTCTGTGAGGGTGCTGCCAAAAAAAGATTAACATTTGAATCAGTAGACTGGGAAAGGCAGACCCACCCTCAATCTGGGTGGGCACAATCTAATCAGCTGCCAGTGCAGCAGAATAAAAGCCAGCAGAAGAACATATAAAGACTAGACTGGTTTAGTCTCCTGACCTACATCTTTCGCCCATGCTGGTTGCTTCCTGCCCTCCAACATTGGATGCCAAGTTCTTCAGCTTTGTGACTCTAACTGGCTTCCTTGCTTGCTGATGACCTATTGTGAGACCTCACCTTGTGACTGTGTGAGTCAATACTCCTTAATAAACTCCCTTTTATATATGCATGTGTCCTATTGGTTCTGTCTCTCTAGAGAACTCTAATAGAAAAATAAAAGTAAAATAAATTTCTTAAAAATAAGGAGCATAAGCCAAGATGCAATGTCTAATCCTCTGTTTTCAACAGTGGAAATGGAATACATAGAAACCCCAAAGTATCTCCTGATGTAATTTAGGTCATCAATATGTAACAGAAGAGAGCCTCATAGTCATCAAACCAGATGCTTAAAAGCTATTTGATTTAAGATTTGACATCTACTCTATTCCTTGTCCTCCAAAAAATTCTGAATAAATTAAAGAAAGGTTACATCTTTAATTTGATTAAAAAAAAAAAAAAAAAACAAATCTATCTCAATACAAGAGCTAAAAGCATAAACAGAAAAAGCATTCCATTTAAGTTCACCAGGAAGGCAAAACTGCCTAGTATGTTTTTTTTAACATTGTTCTAATTAAAGATAATACAAAAAGACAAGAATAAAATAAAGAGGCATGCTATGGAAAAGGAGATAGAATTTCATTGTTTCAAGACAATAAAACAATTTGTGAATCCGTATCCTAATGACAAATTTCTATTTACTCAGGAAAACATTGGTTGAATACCTACTAAGTGCCTACTATTGTTTTAAATGTTGGAAATTTACCAGTAAACACACATACACACAAAAATCCCAGTCCTTACGGAACTCAAAACACTAGTGGATGGGAGCAGAAAATGAACAAAATTGAAAATTGAAAACATAATGGTTACAACTAAAACAAGAAAGTGAAAAATGAGTTTTAAAAAGGGAGTGAAAAAATGTATCACTATACGTAGTTTTAAATAAGGTGGTTAGGAAAGAGCTCACTAAGAAGGTGACACCTTAGGAAAGATCTAAAAGTAATGAGGAAGCAAGCCATATAGCTATCTGGGGGAAAGATGTTCCAGGTAGAGCAAATAGTTTCAGCCAAATATCTAAGGTGAGAGAATTTCTAACATGTTTGAACAGTAAGGGGGCCAATATAGCTGAAGCAGAATAAGAAAGGGAGAAATACAGGCTGAATATCTCAAAACGCAAAATCCAA